AAAGATAAAAACTTTAATGTAATTTTTTTTAAAAATTAAACATTTAGAAAAAAAATGTGGAATAAATATTTATTATATGGGACAGTGAATGAGAGCTTAAAAGTCAGAGGCACTTGGTGTGTATAAATAGAGAACTCTAAAAAGGGAGCTTTAACTTTATTTCAAAGCCTTCAGATGGGTCTAGAATCCATGTCAAATTTGAAATCTGCCTTTTCTAACAGCAGTCCCTCTAAGCTTACTGCTGACCATATACCTGAAAGAATGAACTCTTTTTCCCCTGAAGTCTGGAAGGTACAGGGTATCACAGTCTAGTCCTAAAAGGTCTTTCCGTTATGGACAAACAGATGCGAGACATGATAGCTTACATACAAAGGGTCTTGATACACAGCAATATTGATAAATCTTTACAATAGACTACCGGAAACAGACATGACTGAGAAAGCAATTTTTATAGAAGGTTACCCCAAAATCCTGTCCTGTCATTGTCCTATAGCCATTCAGCAATACACTGAAGAGAATGTACACTTGCAATTATGTATCTATAACCCACTGCCATGGAGTCGATTCCAGTTCATAGTGAGCCTCTAGGAAAAAGTAGAACTGATCCATAGAGTTTCCAAGCATCTTTACATACATCTTTGCATAAGCAGGCTGTCTCGTCTTTCACCCAAGGAGCAGGTAGTGAGTGCTCCCATCTTTTGTTAGCAGATTAATGTTTTAACCACTATACCACCAGACTTATCCACCTATCCCTGCTAAATTCCCAGATTTAGATATCCTTCATTTGTCTTTCTGATTGTCTTTCAGCCAACTATGATTTTTTAACTTTTAGTTCCTAAACAAGACTTATCTGGAAGAAGTGTAACTGGAATGTTCCTTGGAAGCAAGAATGGCCAGACTTCGTCTCATATACTTTGGTCATGCTGTCAGAAGGGACCAGTACCTGGAGAAATATTATGCTTAGACAAATAGAGGGTCAGCAAAAAAGGGGAAGACCTTCAATGAGATGGATTGACAGTTGCTGCAATTATGGGCTCAACCATAGCAAAGATTGTGAATATGGCACAGGACCCAGTAGTGTTTTGTTCTATTGTACATAGAGTCACTATGAGTCAGAGATGACTCAACAGAACCTAACAAGACTTTCTGCTCCAACTGCATAAACATGTTTTCTTCCTCATGGTCTGGAGATGTGGCCATCTTCACTCTGTCAATTTGGACATCTTCCTGGTCTGGACCAGTTCTCTCCTTCAATAACCCTCTTTTGTTTTTGCTTAAGGAGATTCTGTGATGCTACTCATGACAATAGGAAACAATTTCTTAAACAGGACACAGAAAGCATCCAATAAAGGAAAGATTAATTAGATTAACTATATTAAAATAATTTTTCAAAATCCTTTGAATGAAAACATGGGCTTTAGAAAATAAACTTTTATTTTCATCTACTAAGAGTGTAAATTTGCAAAAATAAGCAAAATGCAATGTTAGAGTGCCCAAAATATATCAATTTCAGATGCAGAAGAACCAACAACCCAAGAGAAAACAGCAAAGAAAATAAAAGAATAGTAAGCCCAAATGACCAATAAATATATGTAGAGCCTTGTAAGGAAGAAATAAAATTTAAAATAACATAAAGACACAATTTTTCAACTAAGAGCTTAGGAAAGGAAAAAAAAATATATATATCTCTGATAATAACAAAATTTAGCCAGGATGTTGTAAACAGAAAATCTCATTTATCCCCGGGGAGGAATGTAAATCCTTGTAACTAAATTGAACACATTCTGACTATCTGGTACAAGTGGAGGGATACTCTAAGACTCAGCAACTGTACTTTCAGTCACTCTATGAAAAGAAAAAAAAAGGAACAGCTCTGGTGGTACAGCAGTTAAGCACTTGTCTGCTAACTGAAAGTTGGTGGTCTGAACTCATTAGCCGCTCCGTGGGAGAAAAATGTGGCAGTCTGCTTTATAGTAATATTAATGAAATTCTAAGTAGTGTAATTAAAAAAAAAAGAAGAAAAGAAAAAACTCACTGCCACCGAGTCGGATCCAATTCATAGTGATCTCTCCTTGGGTTTCCGAGGCAGTATCACTGTGGAAGTAGATTGCCCAATCTTCCTTCCAAGGAGTGGCTGGTATGTTTGAACCGCCAGCCTTCTGGTTAGCAGTCAAATGCCTTAGGCACTACGCCACCAGAGCTCCTAAGTAGTGTAATAGGATATGTTATTTGCAAGTGGTTATATATACTACAAAGGAAATCAAAGGATTCTTCATGCAAACACTGTTGATAAGAGCAACAGAACTCTTTCAAGTATATCAGTTTTTATTGATTCATAATAGGCACACACACACACACACACAATATAAGGTGCACCAGTATGAACATACTGGCTGTTCTGGGAGACATGCACTGATGAACAAGAAAGTCAGCCCTTCTAAGTAAAAGTATGTTCCCCTTCCGTCCCCCAGGGCTGTTTTAAGTGTCTGAAGGGTGTGTTGTCTGGCAAAGGTAATGATTACTGGAATGAGTTCCAAACCAACAATTTCACTGAAAATCCCTGATCTATGAAAACAGAGAGGGGTACTGAGAGCACTGCTTTTGATCAGGCTATGAGTCTGACAAATGTAGGGATTTCTGGGTAAACACTGTCTAGAAAGAATAATTCCCAAGAACTAGTGAACAGCTTCACTACTTTGCCTAGGGCCAGCCTGCCTTTCTGATGTAACGCAGTTTTTAGCCACTGTATAAATTCTCTTGAGATCCATGCAATTGGATTCCACATACGAATCTCTTGGGTAAATTCTCAAAATTTAATACCAGAAGAGAGTCAAGCTAATCACATGCCCCAGATCTTTTCTGTTTGTGTTTGGTGAGCTATTTAATTCACACATATATTAATAAATTTTCAATTTATCTTTCCTGAGGTGCCCTAGTAGTACAGTGGTTAAGTGCTCAGCTGCTAACCTAAAGTCTGTGATTTGAATCCATCAGCCACTCCATGGGAGAAAGATGTGGCAGTCTGTGTCTATAAAGATTTATTGCCTTGGAAACCCTATGGGGCAGTTCTACTCTGTCCTACAGGTTTGCTATGAGTCAGAATCAACTCCACAGCAACGGATTTGGTTTCAGGTCAGGGTTTTATGTTGACCAATATTTAAATTAGTTTTTATGTCCTGTGAACAAAACCAGTGAAAATAGTCAACTATAATCAGTAGCAATAGAAAGCAAAAGATTTAAAATGAACAAAAATAGCGAAAACACAATGATGGATGGAGAAATTGCTGCCTATACTCTTGACACTGTCACTTCTGGTACTGACAGTTTTGAATAGGTACCACAAGGCCTCATTTGGGTACACAGGAAGACTTCACCAAATGCTCATCCCCTTTAATATTCATTGACTCTGGAATGCATTCACTGTGACTGAAAGCTGAAATGAAATCACAGAGAGGCCTGCTTTTGTTTCGATACACATGAAGACAAAAGGCCAATGCTCAGCCTCTCTTGCAATCTCTTCCAGCAAAACAAAGTAAGATATAAGCAAGGGCTGGGTTGTCTCTACAAAGATAATGGCCTGAAATTGCTGGTCAGAAAACAGCCAAAGTTCATGGAAGGTAAGGAAAGACAAAAACCAGGCAGCAACAATGTGATATTTATGAAAGGCAGCATATTCATAAGTTAGCTGCCATAAGAAATAACGTTCTCAGGTGGAAGTTAAGGAAAAGAACTCAGGAAACTGTTAAGGTAATAAATTTGCCAAGGAATCCAGAGCGGTAGATTAGTAAATGCTTTATAAGAATAAGGGAGGCCTAAATCCAAGTCAGAACATTCAACTTGGGGAATCAATCATGAATTGTTTCAGATAATAGCTATGGAACACTTTCAAGTACCTCTAGGTAGTGGAGGAGTGTTTCTTTCACAGGTTGTTGCATATTGAGCATGGC